ATTGACAGATGAATAAACAAAATGTGGTATAGTCACACAATGGAGTATTATTCAGCCTTAAAAAGAAATGAAATTGGAATATATGCTATAACTGGAATAAACCTTAAACCAAAGTGAAACGAGTAGGACACAAAAGGACCAACGTATAATTTCACTTATATAATGTACCTATAACAGTCAAATAAACAAATAAGCAAATTAAACTGGTTGCTAGGAACTGAGGAGGAGAGGGAATGGAGAGTCATTATTCAAAGGGTTCAGTTTTGGATGATGAAAACTTCTGGAGAAGGAAAATGGTAACAGTTATACAGCAGTATGAATACGCCACTAAACTATGCAGTTAAAAATAGTTAAAGCAGTAAATTTTATATTCAATATATTTTACTATAATTTTATAAATTTAACACCTCAACATAGTAAAAAAAAACCATATGATGGCATGCCATAAGAAAAGGCATTTGAGAAAATATAGTCCCTACTCCAAACCAACAAAAAACAGTCTTGGGGTTCCAGGAAGAGAAGGAAACATAACATGGTAACATGAAGGGTTATCTTGGTTTCTGTTTGGGAAGGATGAACAGTGCTCAGCAGAAAGCTGGAGGTATTAACCAGAAGTTGAGAATTTGAAGGGATAAATGATGAATGCACCCTCAACAAGATAATCATCCACAGCATGAAGTGACTATGAAGGTTGATTCTCTCAACCCACAAAAGCATCCATAAGACAGAGTCCGCTTTAAACTAAAGGCAAGTCCAGTAAATAATAGCAGATCGCCATTATTGACTTTCCTTACCTCTTCTCCATTCCCATACTATCAAGCCTGACAAAGTCAGAAACAGTGAGAAAGGAACAGCAATATCCCAATAGAAGAGGCACACCCAACACCAGACTGGTCTCTATGTACTATGCTCCAAAAAAAGAAGCCAGATCTCTTGGATAAATGGTTGATTCTAGGGGCTGAGCAGAAAATCTTATGCCAGAAAGAAAAGTGTTCAAATAACGATGGGAACACATCAAAAAGTTACGTAGTCAGATTAAAGGGACTTCCCATGGCCAAACCCGGAACAATTTGAGCATTGAAACAAATAATGATAAAAGATAATAACCCATTCAGTAAAACTGAAAACTGTAATTATGAATAAAGTGAAAATTAAATGAGGAATAGAATACTCAAAGTACCTCTCCACAAAATACTTACTAACTAACTGCAAAGGTAAAAGAATAACTCTCCCCAGTGTAGAAGCTTGGTAGACAATTGCTTAATCATGTGCTAAAAGTAAACATCATGGGACAAAATTTAATTCATGGACCACACCTGATAGGATGCAATGTAATGCAAAGGGTATTGCATTACTTCTATTATTTTTCCCAGTGATATGTAGCCTAAAGTGACTTGTGAAAAAAAAAAATTGGAGAAACCCAAATTGAGGAATATTCTTTAAAACAATTGGCCATTAATCTCCAAAAAATGTGTTAAGATACTGAGAGTCAAGGAAAAAACGAAGTCATGTTCTAGATTAAAAGATAGTAGAGGGCTAGGGATGTAGCTCAGTGGTAAAGTGCTTGCCTAGAATGCTCAAGGTTCAATCCCCAACACCACCAAAAAATAAATAAAAGTAGAGAAGTAATTACTAAATTCAATCTGTGATTCAATTTTTTAAGAGAGAGAGAGAGAATTTTTTTAATATTCATTTTTTTTTTTAGTTATTGGCGGACACAACATCTTTGTATGTGGTGCTGTGGATCGAACCCGGGCCGCACGCATGCCAGGCGAGCCCGCTACCACTTGAGCCACATCCCCAGCCCTGTGATTCAATTTTATTGGACAACTGGTATAACCCAAATGGGGTTTTAGAATCCAGTGGCAATAATGTGTTAACATTAATTTTCTAAGGGTATATTTTTAGTAGGAGATATCCTTCTTTATAAGAATGACATACTAAAGAATTGCAGAGATATGAAATAATTTAGAAAAAAAAAACCTCATACTGTACTTGCAACTCTTACCTGTGAGATTTCAAAATTCTTAATGAATTTCCCTTTTTCTAAAACACTGCTTTAAAAATGCCTTCCTCAAAGCCTTGGGCTTCCCTCGGGAGGAAAAGTGCTAAGTGAGGAGGGCCTTGAGTTCTTGACTGCTTTAATAAAACCAGCTACACCCATGTTGAGAAGCAGCTCAGAGTACTGATTATAAACTCAGCCTTTTAAGTCAAACCAACTGGGATAAATCCAGACTCCATAAATGCATGATGTAGGACCTAAGCAAATTATTTAAACTGTCTTAAGTTTTAGTTTGTTCGTGTGTAAACAAGGGGAAAAAAAATAATAGAACCTGCATCTTAGAAAGTTGTTACCTGGATTACAAAAACTTTTAACTATTAAATTTATAACTATTAAATTTTAAATTTAAATTCAGTGAGACAATAAATGTAATAAATGATTTGTTTTTATTATTATTTGTTCAGTGCATTAGCATTCTGCCTAGAATTTTATTTGAAAAAAAAACACTGCAATTAAAATACAATTAAATTAAGATACTCATTCAACTTTAAGCTAAAGCCTCTGTTTTACTCTGGGTTGTACAGTATAATAATTAAAAGCACAGGCTCTGAAATCAGAACTTGTGTTCAAATTGCAATTCTACCACTTACCTGCTATGTGATCTTGGGCAAGTTATTTAATTTATCTAAGTCTCCACTTTTGAGACTAAAAATAATAATAATCAATATAAAGGTTAAATGAGATGAATAGGTAAGTAATTTTGTAAAGCATCTGTTAAAATCTCAAGTCTTAAAAAAAATAGCTGCTGCTGATGTTGCTGGTCTCTATATATTTAATAACCTAGCACAGGAGTCTCTATATATTTAATAACCTAGTACCACCTGCTTGTATAAGATAAAATAATTAGAAGACCTAAATTCATTCATTTGTGCACTATCCATGGCTACTTTAGTGCTTAATGGCAGAACTACATAGCTGCAAGAGATCAGAGGGCCCACAAGATTTAAAATACTTACTAACTGGCCAGGTGCAGTGGTGCACGCCTGTAATCCCAGCAATTTAGGAGGCTAAGGCAGGAGGATTGAAAGTTTAAAGTCAAACTTAAAAACTTGGGCTGGGGTTGTGGCTCAGCGGTAGAGCACTCACCTCGCTCTTCCGAGGCCCTGGGTTCGATCCTCAGCACAACATAAAAATAAATAAATAAAATAAAGGTATTGTGTCCAACTAAAAAATAAATATTTTTTTAAAAACTGAATATAGCTTAGAAGTTAAATAATGAATATCTTAATTTAATTATAATAGCAACAACTTAGCAAGGCCCTCAGTAACTTAACAAGACCCTATCTTAAAAATAAAAAGGACTGGGGACATAGTTGCTTTGGGTTCAATCCCTACTGCCTTAAAAGAGTAAAATATTTACCATCTGGATATTTCAAGTGAAGTTTGCTGATTTGTACCCTAGGACAATAAAAACAATTAAAAATGCAATGGTAATAGAATGTTTAAACAGTTAACTGGTTTCCAATCTGTCAATAAATTCAAAGCAGTGGACAAAATATGGTTGTTTTCCTTTCTCCAAGAAAAACTGAAAAGTCTTTAGAGAGTCTAAGTTAAAATAGTTATTTTTTAAAATAGAAGTATAAATTTGAGAAGTGATATGAATAATCTATGCCTACAGAACTTACCATTACCACTCCAGGTTCCCTCAATGCACTATGGCATTGTATTGGGCCATAAGCAAAACAGAATTTTCTGAAAGCATCTTCTAAAAATAAATCATATTGAAAAGTATATTTAAGAAGCAACTACATTAAAGGAACTATAAAAGGTACCGTGAGAAATTCAAAGAAGATAATGCAGCAAAGTAAACTTAAGATGATTAGAATCTAGCTGAGTAGAAAATTAATCTCTAAAATATATTAGAGTTTAAAAGTTTTAATGCAGATATATAGTATCATTTCTATATAGTACAAGTCTGAATTACTGAAGAGAAAATAGCTTCAGAATAATGAAACAGCTTATATTAATTGCCTTTAACCTTCAATTTTTTTTTAATTTTTTTTATTGGTTGTTCAAAACATTACAAAGCTCTTGACATATATTTCATACATTTGATTCAAGTGGGTTATGAACTCCCATTTTTACCCCGTATACAGATTAAACTTTCAACCAAACAAAAATCGAGTTAAATGTACTTCATTTTAATTTGTTTCTCTAAATTTTACATAAATAAGATAAATTTTTCTCATTTACTTACAATCGATATTAATTAAAAAATTAAATTTTTTTTTAATCTTTGAAAATTACCTGACTGGCTGCTAATCCATAATGGGGGGGGGGGGGCATGGGATGAATGGAAGACTTTGGATGGGGCAAAGATGGGGGTAGGAAAGATGGTGGAATGAGACGGTCATCATTACCCTAGGTACGTGTATGATTGCACAAATAGTGTGAATCTACTTTGAATAGAACCAGAGAAGGGAAAAATTCTGCTCCATTTGTATACAATGAATCAAAGAGCATTCTGCTGTCATGTATAAGTGATTAGAACAAATAAATATATTCAAAAATAAAGCTTCAGGAGGATTACTACTTGGAAGGACAAACATTCATCTTAATGCAGATATATAGTATCATTTCTATATAGTACAAGTTTGAAAATACTGAAGAGAAAATAGCTTCAGAATAATGAAACAGCTTATATTAATTGCCTTTAACCTTTAATTTTTATAAAGGTCTCAAAAAACTTTCAACTAAACAAAATCTATTATTTAAGGAGAAAAATATTACAATCAACCTACTAAACCAATTTTGTATTTGAGGGATGGAGAATAAACAATTACATAGTTTTGATAGGACTGCATAACAGCAAATACTGAGAAGTAAAACTACACAGACATTTGTAGAAAGAAGTTCCTGTTAACATATATATATGCAATATGTTTTGAGTTAATAAACTATACTGATTTGATTCTTAAAAAAAAATTTTAAAAATTACCTGAACTGGATGTTCACTAAATGAGGCTGGGACCCATCTGATTGCCAGTATGTTTCTAGATTGTCATCTCGTAACTGATCCACTCCAAATCCTAAAAAAACCAAGAGAGGCAATAAATTTCCAAGAAAAAGAGCTATATACTCAAAACATAAAAGTATCATATATATTTGTCAGAAATTTTGATAGCAAGATGGTGAGAAATATAAAACTTAACCCAGAATTCTTCTACTTTTTAATCTAGATTTCAACTCACGAAATACCACTTGTACATACAAAAGTTTATATTAAGATGAACATTTTTAGTTCTTGGCTTCTTAAAAACATCTTCCAGGATACTTACTCTAAACTCTATATATTTGAATCAGTTTCTTATACTTTTTAGAAGCTGATAATTAGAGTGATCCCTGTGTCTGGGCAAAATCTTTTAATTCTATGAAGTTCAATATGCCATGCTTACTATGACAAGACAAAGATGACTCAGAAATATTTTCAAAAGGCATATACATTGTGAAACCAAGAGCTTCTGATTAATCAAAATCAAGTATACCTAGAATCCTATATCCTCCAGCCATTATAGATTAGTGAAATTGAACTATCCTGTGCTTTTCCCTGAGTAAAACCATAATAATTCATACTAACTACAGAAGAGTACATTTTTAAAAAGAATGGATTTAATTTATTTCATTTTTTACTAAATAATATAGTCATTATGGATCAAATTTAAAAGGTACAAAAAGAAAATTGTGAATAGTCACTATCACCCTACCATTTTGTTCTCCTCTCCAAATATAGTCAATTTTATTAGTTTTTTGTCAATCTTTTCACAGATACCACATGCATATAAAAGCAAGGACTAGTTTCTTTTCCCCATCTCTTGGCACAAATGATAGCAAACTATATAGTTCTGGATTATAGTGAGGGTTTTTTTTTTCCACTTAACATATCTGGAAGATTATTCCATATTAAAGTTAATAATTATAATAATAACTGCAAATGGTGATACTATATTTACTATGGGCCAGACACTCTAAGCATTCTAAATACTAAATCATCTAATATTTATTAACACAATATCTCAAGCAGCTTCCACATTTTTAAAGGTTATACAGTATATCCCCATCTGGAAATACCATATTTAAACCAAATCCTTACATGACATTTAGTTTGTTTTCAATATTTTGCTATTACAAACAATACTGCAACAACCTATCTATAATCTCTAAATACATGTTACTATTTCTGGAGGATGAATTTCAAGGAATAGAATCCAAAGTCAATAATTTTTCATTTGATAAATCTTGTCAAAACCTTCTCCAAAATACCTCCTCACCAATAATGTATGAGAACATCTATCTCCTCTCCATGGCTAGTAAAAACTGAGATGTTCTGAAATTTATACACTAGATTTTTCAACTTACTATGAAAAAAATTATCCAAAAGTTTTTATATTGATTACATGTTGAGATGATACTATGGACACAATGAGAAAAAAAATAATTGCATCTATTCTTTTTACTTTTTAAATGTGATTATTAGATATCTTTAAATATATATGTGTTTGGCATTATATTTCTATTGGACAGCACTGCTCTGTACTCATGGTAAAATACAGTCAATCTTTTAAATATTTACTAACCGGACAGGTAAAAAGATATATTCCATATATTTATTAATCATTATATTTTTATATCAAATGCCTATTCATACCCTCCTATATTTCCAGTAGGTTGTTCAGGAAGCTAAGGATACACAATGTAGGGGAAAAGGAAATAAGCCAGAGACATGAAAGGAGATGATCCTACAGATTCTTATGCACTAGACTAAGGAGTGTAAATTATCTTGAAAATTATGCCAATCTATTGAAGAATTTTTAGTAAGTCAGGCATAGAATCAGGAAATTACAAGAACAGAATCTCTAGATAGATTTTTCAGCATCAGGGTGAGAGAAAACTATTAGGGTAATCAGTTGAAATTTGGCTAGTTCAAACTGAGATGTGCTGTAAGGAGCTTTTGAAGATATAGTAAGAAATGTAAAATACCACATTGATAATAAATGAATATTTGATTAAAAATATATTATTACAATTAATTTTACTTGTTTCTGGGGGCTGAGGTTGTAGCTCAGTGGTAGAACGCTTGCCTAACATATGTAAGGCACTGGGTTAGATTCTCAGCACCGCATATAAATAAAATAAAGGTCCATCAACAACTAATAAAAATATTTTTAAAAAATTAATTTTACCTGTTTCTAACCCTTTTAAATGTGGTTACCAGAAAAAAAATTCCACATACAAATTGCATGATATTTCTATTGGACAATGCTAACCTAGACCATACTTCTGCCATTCCTTATGCAATACTGCTAAGACTAATCTAGAATATTATCAGTTATATAAGTTATGAGACAAAAAACTGTTCTGCTACCAATATAAAGAGTTCTAGGCTGGGCATGGTAGTGCATGCCTGTAATTCCAAATACTGGAGGATGCAAGAAGATTGCAAGTTCAAGGCCAGCCTCCATGACTTAGGAGACCCTGTCTCAAAATAAAAAATTAAAAGGAATGAGTATGTAGCTCAGTGATAGAGCATCCCTGGGTTCAATCCCCAGGACAAGGGGTGAAAGAAAGAAAGAAAGAAAGAGATAAAGAAAATCTTCTAGATTTTAAATCCCTTTTCTTTTGACTAGTTTATGAGCTCCCTAACAAAAATAACTAAATCACTTGATTGTTCCTTAAGAGCTTCATGGTTAAATGTTCCACTAATTAAAAGTGGTTTCTGTTCACTTATTTTACTTTAGCTATTTGGCTGGGTTTTTTTTCCTCCATTCCACAAATTTATTTGTGTATCAAAGAATTTCACAAAATGGTATTTGTTCTTAAAGAGCAAAATAAACATTAAACACTCTGAATGATTTATTTAGAATAAGATATGTCCTATAATTCAAGACTCATCAATTAAATTTGTTTCTAAGATATTGCTTTTTATAGTACATCTAAGTAGGTGTAGTCTCTTCAATAATTAATTAATCTAAATATTTACCTCTAAGTATGACTACTAGCTTTTACTTCAGTATGTATCATAAGCAGAATATCTTACAAACATTTCTTCACATGTCAATGCCATGTCTCAACCCACATTCTAAAGCTTCCCACTCAATGTTATATCTGAACTGTTTTAGTCTAAACAAAAGACTTAAAATGATGACAGATCTGTGACATGCTTTGACAGATAATCATGATAATGCACACAGTTAACAGTATTTTTCAGAAAAAAAAAATTTATTTGATGTACCAACTCTGAGGCAGCACTTCTTACAGTGTGGTCCTGTTGAGAGCCACAGCCAAAGGGGCCCCAGCAAACTTCCACCTGCCAGCAAACTTCCAGCTGCTGGCTGATGATTGGCTCACAGCGGCCCCAGCAACATCTAGCTGATTGGCTCCTCGGCCCCAGCAACATCTAGCTGATTGGCTCCTCTGCGGTGATGCTCATTGGGCTGTTTCCCTGCCCGTTCAGACCACGGAGCTGCTCATTGGGGGACTTTTTTGGCTCCGCCCACGTGACCCAGCCAATCGGCCTCAAGAGCAGGAGGATTGTGGGAGGTGGAGAGAAGCTTGTGTGGGAGAGAGAGGCTTGTGGAAAGCCGGTGGTGGCAGTTGAGGCTCTGAGGGTTTTTCCTGAGAGGCTATTTTGTTTGGCGTGTGTGGTTCTAAAAATAAAGTTAGTTTCTTTTGACAAGTGGCTCCTGATTGTGCCCAGCCAGACTGCGGCATTTGGTGGCCCGTACGGGGGGCGACTGAGGGTAAGTGAAACTGCTCGCCCCTGAGGGCAGGGCGAGAGGATGGGTAGCCATTTTAAGATTCCTCTTTTATTTTGCTTCACTTTTGTTTTAAGTTGCCTGTCCCTGGAGATGAGTGAGACGGAAGAAAAACCGCTCACATCTGAGGAAAAACTATTTACGTCTGAGGAACAGATAGGGAGAAAGGACGGATGCACATGTCAGGAGGATAGAAAGGCTATAATGACTTTTTGTTGTTCCCTTTTTATTTCATTCTGTCTCGGTTTTATTTGGCGTCATCTTGTTGGGTTGTATTATAGTAGAAATATGGGATCAGAAATTAGTAAAAAACAAACTGAAAGAGTGTTAAGTAAATTGTTAGAGGAAGGAGGCATCCCAGTAAAATCAAGAGCAGTCAGGGCATACGTTGATACAATACAAAAATGTAGCCCATGGCTTTTTAAGGAGGAGTTGTTAAATATATCACAATGGAACCATCATGGTGAAGATTTAAAAAGAATAGAAAAGAAAAGCCCAGGGACTCTGCCAGTTGGCACATTGCCATTGTGGACATTCGTATCTTGTTTGCTTAGTCCAAAGCCTTCAGTTCAGACAATGGTAGAGGAAGGAGAAGACATAATGATTCAAATAAAAGAGAAGGCCTCTCAAGCTAGTCAGACAGAGAAAGAAAGTGTAAAACAGAAAAAGCCATCAGGGGGAAAGTTACAACAGGAGACTGCTACTAACACCTTTCTATCACCAGAGGGCATAAGTGTCCAACCAACAGCGCCACCTCCATATGCTGGGAGGCCCCCAACCCCCGCAGTTGATAGTTGGGATCCTGAGACAAGATCTCAAATACTAACATGCCCTGTATTTGAGGCAGGAGGGCAGCGATTTTACCAAGTTTTAAATTTCAAAACAGTGAAGCAGCTAAAAGAGGCTGTAACAACCTATGGTCCTCAAGCACCCTTCACTGTAAGCATGGTCGAATCCATTAACAACTTGAACATGACGCCAGCAGATTGGGCTAATATGTGTAAAGCTGTGCTAAATGGAGGACAATACCTGTTATGGAAGGTTGCCAATGAGGAATTTTGCAAGGAGACGGCTAGGCGAAATGCAGCAGCTGGTTATCCTCAGAGAAATCTAGATATGTTGTTAGGAAAGGGACCTTATGAGGATCAGCAGCAACAAATTGCATATGATCCTGGCGTATACGCACAAATTGCTGCAGATGCAATTAAGGCATGGAAGACTTTACAAGGACATGGAGGTTTACAAGGTCAATTATCTAAGGTAATACAAGGAGCTAA